CCACTGGATTAATTAAAGGTGAAACTGTGCGATGCTCGATTCACATCTTAGTCCTGTTTTAGAGCTTCAAGCCAACTTTCTCCCCTCTCTTTAGATTTACTCATGATTGATTTCTGTTAGGTGTATTTTTTGTTGCCTCATAAAAGTAACTTGTGTCCATGCTGTTTGTGTATTTTCATGCGTGTTTCTGTATGAACAGCAGTCATTCTGTGCATTCTGCCTCATGAGCTTTGTTTTCTAGACTGAGCAGCAGTAATGTGTTAAATATGTCTATTTTCATTACAGCTAAAACCTAGACATCTTGTACATTTCTTAAAATTATTTTTTTATTTCCAATTTCTGATACTTGTCAAACAGGAAACAATGTGTTAGAATATATAATAAAAATTCATATATAGTTCAAAATGAAATGTGTGTACCCCAAGGTTCAATATTTGGTCCTTTATTATTTAGTTTATATAAAAATGATTTTACCAGCTGTATGCCCTTCTGATGCTACATATCAGTTACAGTGAGGAAAATAAGTATTTGAACAGCCTGTGACTTTGCAAGTTCTCCCACTTAGAAATCATGGAGGGGTCTGAAACTTTCATCTTAGGTGCATGTCCACTGTGAGAGACATAATCTAAAAATTGAAAAAAAAAAAAAATCAGGAAATCACAATGTAAGATTTTTTAAATAATTTATGTGTGTGTTACTGCTGCAAATAAGTATTTGAACACCTGTCAATCAGCAACAGTTCTGTCCCTCAAAGACCTGTTAGTCCGCCTCTAATAAGCTCCACCTCCACTTCACTTATTATTCTAAATTAGAAGCACCTGTTTGAGGTCGTTAGCTGCATAAAGACACCTGTCCACTCCACACAATCAGTAAGACTCCAACTACTAACATGGCTGAGACCAAAGAGCTGTCCAAAGACACCAGAGACAAAATTGTAGACCTCCACAAGGCTAGAAAGGGCTACGGGGCAATTGCCAAGCAGCTTGGTGACAAAAGATCAACTGTTGGAGCAATTATTAGAAAATGGAAGAAGCTAAACATGACTGTCAATCTCCTTCGGACTGGGGCTCCATGCAAGATATCACCTCGTGGCCTATCAGTGATCCTAAGAAAGGTGAAGAATCAGCCCAGAACTACACGAGAGGAGCTGGTCAATGACCTGAAGAGAGCTGGCACCACGGTTTCCAAGGTTACTGTGGGTAAAACACTCAGACATCATAGTTTAAAATCATGCATGGCACGGAAGGTTCCCCTGCTTAAATCAGCACACGTCCAGGCCCGTCTTAAGTTTGACCATGACCATTTGGATGATCCAGAGGAGTCATGGGAGAAAGTTCTGTGGTCAGATGAGGCCAAAATAGAACTTGTTGGTCTTAATTCCACTCGCCGTGTTAGGAGGATGAAGAATGATGAGTACCATCCCAAAAACACCATCTCTACTGTGAAGCATGGGGGTGGAAGCATCATGCTTTGGGGGTGTTTTTCTGCACATGGGACAGGACGACTGCACTGTATTAAAGAGAGGATGACCGGGGCCATGTAGTGAGAGATTTTGGGGAACAACCTCCTGCCCTCAGTTAGAGCATTGAAGATGGGTCGTGGCTGGGTATTCCAACAAGACAATGACCCAAAGCACACAGCCAGGAGAACCAAGGAGTGGCTCCGTAAGAAGCATATCAAGGTTCTGGAGCGGCCTAGCCAGTCTCCAGAAATAAACCCTATAGAAAATCTTTGGAGGGAGCTCAAACTCCGTGTTTCTCAGTGACAGCCCAGAAACCTGGCTGATCTAGAGAAGATCTGTGTGGAGGAATGGTCCAAAATCCTGCTGCAGTAAACCTGGTGAAACACTACAGGAAACATTTGACCTCTGTAACTGCAAACAAAGACTACTGGACCAAATATTAACAATGATTTTCATTCACAGGTGTTCAAATACTTATTTTCCTCACTGTATATGCATATGATGCAGTAATCTATCTACATGCGAAAAATAAAGAAATAGCTGTAGAGAAACTGTTGGCACTAATGTTACCAGTTTGTCTGTGGCTAAAAAAATTCTAATCTTCATCTTAATGTTAGTAAAACAGTTTGCATGTTATTTTCTAAGTGCAAAACTAAGGAACCAGACCAATCATTACAGTGGATGGACAAATATTTACACCAGTACAAGAGCATAAATACTTGGGTATCATAATGGATTCCCAACTTTCATTTTAGAAACATATAAAAAAATGAAATAAATTAAAATTTAATTTGTGCAATTTTAAACATATTGGGATTAATTTGACATTAGAAACTTAAAAACTATATTTAAACGCTATGATTCTTTCTCATAAATTATTGTACGACGAGTTAGTCTCAGACGAGTCAAACCACACAACAACCAATAGAAAGACTCTATAAGCAGACTCTGAAGACTTTGGACAAAAAAAAAAAAACTTAATTCTTATCATCATTGTAAAATATTACATAAGTATGACTTTTTGAGTTGGGAAATCATGATCATGTATTCAGATGCCATACTTGTACATAAAGTCCTTCATGGTTTTTCTCCACCACCACTAAAAGACTGTCCAATTCCATTTACAACCAAACATAACTAGAAAAGCAGTTAGTAGGGGAGACTGTAAAATACCTTTTAGAAAAAGTTCCTTCGGTCAGTCATCATTTTCTGTTCAGGCTCCAAATTCTTGGAATAAACTACCATTAGAACTAAGAAATATTGCGTCATTAAACTGTTTTAGGAAATCACTTAAGCAATGGTTACTAGATAATCAAAATTGTACCCATGTTTTGAATAATATTCAAATCAACTTTTTACTTGTTACTTTTCCTTCTTGTTTCCCTTTATGGTCTTGTTTTAATTTTTTGATTTAAGTGTTTACTGTAAATTACACTACTTTGTAGCTAATTTTACAATTGTCATAACTTATAGGTCATGTAAGATGTCATGCATGTTAATTGTAATTTTTCTTTCATCTTTTACATCAACCTGCTAGGGGACTACAGATGAAAATGAGCCTCTTTGGCTAAATCTGGTATATTTATGTGATGTATTCATGATGATTAATATGCATTGTTCCTTTATGAAATAAACATAACAAAAATATATTAAAAAAGTAGACAATATTTAAGAATTAAAATGAAATGAAGCATCTGGATCGACAGTAGTGTGGCTGCTCCATTTACTAACAGTTTATTAAGGAGTCGAGACACTGCAGGATTCTGTTCTCCACTGGTCATTTAAAGCCTTTTCTTTTTGATGTGTGAGGCACTGACACATCATTTCTATGCCCTGATGGTCCGTGATGCATAAAATGATTGTGTGGACATTAGGAGCTGATTACTGTATGAAAACCAGACACAGACACAGCAGCTCTGTGCACGTGTTCAGCATCTGAAGTGCAGTCCATCGCTTTAGGAAACGGTTCTCCTCTGACCATACGATCAATCCGTCTCCAGTCAGTCATTACCTAATCAATACCATCGTTTTCTATTTCCTGACAAAACTTTAAGTAAAATACCGTACTTCTCAGACTAAAAGGCGCACCGGATTATAAGGTGCTTTAAGCGAAAGTAAGACATTTGACAGATTTTTTTTAGCGCCATGTGCCACATAAAATCAGTAAGTGTTCAGCAAGTACAACCAGAATTAATACATAGAGTAAGGTGCACTGGATTATAAGGCTCCCTGTTGATTTTTGAGAAAAATTAAAGGATTTTAAGTGTTCCTTATAGTCTGAAAAATATGTAATGTTTTAAAGACGTATGATTCACGTGTGAAAAACAGGGAAAACGTTCACGGCTTTAAATAATATTGTTAAAATGAACATGCTTGTTCTTTAACTATGAGATAAGAGCATAAGAGTATAGCTTTTTTTGGCACAACCTTTTATATATATATTTTATGTTTTGTAGTGCTGTATGAATTTAGGTTTATGGTATAAAAAAAACAAAATTAAAGTTTCACAAAGGAGCTCTGGAGATAAACCAATGTCAAACTCCTGGATCAGCACACATTTCTTGTATTGTACTCAGTATTATCGAATTAGTAAATTAATTAGTAATTAAAAATGTTAAAGTGTTCGACAAAGGTGTCATTTTAAAAGTAATTTAAAAAAGGAGTCATGATGCCAAAGATTAACAGAAAGATCTTTTGTCTGTTTTGGTTTTGTTTTAATTTACGCATCTTTTAAATCACGGCACATATTCTCTTGTCCTGTCTAGTTATTTTGTTTAATTTAAATAAAATTACAGTCAGTAAATCAGTTTTGTTTAAATAATCTGCAAACTGTATCTGATTATTAGTTGAACCTATAGTTGTAGCTGCAGAAAAGCACTGCAATCTGAATTAATCTGAAACGTCACAGACTCAGACCGAACTATATTTAAAAACCGTCTGAAAGACACAAAATAAAAGCAACAAATTGCACGACGTGGCAGCTGTAAGGAGTTCACTCTGCAGATACTGCTGTGAAGACGCAGAGCATCCTTGTTGAATCAAGTTGCGGCTCTTTATTTATTTATTTTAAATATTGTTCCTAATTGCTACAGAAATTGTCAAAAAAATAGAAAACAAAAACAGGAAATGTCAAACCCATTTGTCTTTCTAGCTTTAAAGTGTTTGTCTTTTAACGTATTGCTCTGTACGTTAACGTATCAAATGGGCCTCGTATTAAATTAATGACCATAATTAGGTTGGCATGGCAACACAAGATGAAAGCCGGTTTGATTCTGCCTGAGCAAATAAATCATAAACTCGCTGATTTGTCTGCCCTTCAGACTGCTTTAGGTGTACACTTATTTTAGATGAAGGATTTGGGATGTGACAGTAAAAAAAAGCATTCACAAGCTGCTACTTCTGCTTGTGGGCTGACTTATTTGTGCATAAACATGGTTGTTGAATTATTCTTTATCAAAGTCATGCTGTTATATGGAAATCCTTTTTTTAATCCCAGTCAGATAAAAATATATCCTGCATGTTTGTTGTTTTTTTACAGGGCAGCAACGTGGTGGAGGACCAGGACCTGCTGGAAATTGGGATTCTCAACTCTGCTCACAGACAGCGCCTGCTGCAGGCCATTCGGCTGCTGCCCCGGGTCGGTGCTGCACATCGCAACACGTTCATTGACTTGTTTAAGCTCTGTTAAGTCACCGTGCTCACTTCCAAACATAGTGTGTAAAATAAATCCATTTTTCATCATGAAAATTAGTTTTTTTTCACTAGCTCAATCTGTTTTAATGTAAAATTTAGCCAACCTTCTGACTCATTGCTGTTTCTGCAATGTAAATATCCGTGGGTGGCTTTATTTCTCTGCATGTTTGAGTTCTTCACATACATGCCAAGAGCAAGGAGAAGAGTATTCAAGGATAGATTTGATCAAATGGTTCTCAAAATATCAAGCGTAAAAAGATTTCAGAAAGCTCAAACTGATAAATCTGCCATCATCTGTAAAATGTAGAGCGGACACATGTTGAAATACTCTGAAACCCGTTTGAAGGGCGGCTGTGGCTGAGTGGTTAGAGCAGTCGTCCCAATGCAAGAGTTGGGGGTTTGATTCCACCAGCAGTCACATGCCGATGTGTCCGTGGGCAAGACACTGAACCTCTCATTGCCACCGATGTGTGTCCCATCAGTGTATGAATGTGATAGTGTTGATTATTCTTTGTAGAGATCTAGTAGAGTGCTGTATGAATGGATAAATGAGGCACAGATTGTAAAGAGCTTTGAGTATCTCAATAAGATAGAAAGGTGATATAAATGTACAGTTCATTTACCATATTGCTGCTTTAAATTAAGAATGAATTGGCAAAAGTTGTGTTACAGTCATGTGCTTGTGTTTGTTTGCAAGCGAGGGACTGTAAGTCATTCTGAGGAGGAGGAGAAAAGTGTGCCCAAACAAAAGTAGTTTGTGTTGAAAAATAAATAAAAAAGTATGCTAGTTCTCTCACTCCCACTAAACTTTTCAAAATGGTACAGAAGAAAAGGGAGGAAACAAAACCTTTTATCTTCCATCTCTCTCACGCACGCACGCACACACACACACACACACGTAGTCAAACACCCTGAATGTGAGGTGGAGGTTGTTTGAAGCCTCACTGACTCTAAGGCTCTTTGTCAAAATACAGTGAATGAATTATTAATTATCTGCTGCTGCACTCCATATATTTCAGCCTGAGCTGTAACCTCCTGCTGTTTCCAACTCAGTCAGACCTACACTCAAAGTGCGGCTTGTTTACTTATTTGTATTATTAAAAAAACAAATATAACCAGCTTCCTCATTGTTTTTGTGTGTGTGGGTGTGTGTCTTATACAGTAGGCCCTTGTTTATCGCAGGGATCTGTACTTTGAATCCCTTTAATAAGTGAAAAACCACGACGTAGGAATAGTAGTACAAGTAGTTGTTTAACTCAGCGCTCTTGGCCACGCCCACTTCTCCGCAGCAGAATAGACAAAGGGAGGAGGAGCTACAGGAGGAAGTTTCTCCTGCAGTGTGGGCTGCATACAGGTGCAGCAGGTGCTAAAACACTTTAAATAGTTCATTGTAAATATCAACTCCATGCCAGTCGTGCAGCTCATCCATCAATCAGCCAACTGTGTGTCATGTCCAATCTTATTTTGAAAAACATTGATAGAGTGAGTCCACGAAAAACAAACTGCGAAGTAGCGAGGGACTACTGTACTCTAATATGCAGATAAATGTCTAAAGTTTCTCATATATTAGTTTATGACAAAGTAATACTACAAATACAAACTGTTTATCATCTTACATAAGTAAAGTTTGCTGTAATGTAGGTTCAGCTTTTAAACAGCACATTTCAGACTCGTACGATGCGTGGAGGAAAATAAATAATCTCTCAAGCTGTGAGCTTCAGAATCCGTCAGTTTTCCTCTTACGTCTTGTGTTTTCTGTTTTGTTTGGACACAAGGTGCGACCTGTCGGTTATGATGGCAACAACCCCACGTCGGTGGCCGAGTGGCTCGAGTCTTTGGAGCTCGGCGACTACACCAAGTCTTTCCTCATTAACGGCTACACATCCATGGAGTTGGTCAAAAAGATCTGGGAGATCGAGCTGATCAACGTAAGTCTCAAGTTTTATCACTTTTGTCTGCTGTGCTCAAAAGGCTCATCCTAAAGGAAAAGGAAGCTTCAAACAAATCAATAATGTCCACAATAATTGAAGACATAAGGGGTGAGGACACGATGAAACTGTTCCACTATGAGCAGCTCCAGAACAAGTTTTAAAAGTTCTTGTGATCATTTGTTAGTTTTAACTCTAAACCCTCTGATATCGTGCAGTACAGTCTACTTGCAGGTAATCTTTTCTGTGTACTTCATGTTAAAGCCACCTCAGTTCCAGAGTTTTTACAATGAGTCCCAATAGTTTATGTTGTGTAATAATTTCAACGAGCCTCGGTACAGCAGAGGAGAGCACATATCACCCACACACACATTATCAGCACAAGCTGGGTACTTTGGTGTCCTCATTAAAAGAGACTGAAGCTGATGGAGAAGTGCAGGATGCCCATCAGGTATGTGTAATGAATGCAAAGAGGATGTGCAGATTTGTTTTTAAATTATAACCTCGCCACAGTTATTTTATTTAATCAGCTACGATGGCTCTTCGTCTCACTTTAGAGGCTTGTCGTTTAAAGTCGGAGTAACGATGTGTTCACAGTACGCTGCTGCTGAACGTTGAATCCTCTCATTTGGTGGATATTAGTTTTGCCGCTGATAAGATTTTGACATTTGAGTTCTTGTGTTGCCACAAGTAATACAGGTTTTCAGATTTTACTCCAAAATGCTTGCCAGAGATGTGATTTACTGCACCCCAGCTGAGAGAGCTGCTCCTCTGATGCTGCACGTTGAACAAAATCATACTCGGAGCAACGCCAGCGCTGATTTTAAGGAGAGCGAGAAGGGGAGTTTTTCCTTCCCAGCAGAGGATAAAGTGATGAGTGATCAGCTGAAGGAGGTAGAGATGGAGTTATATAAGCATGTGGGATGCAAGATGTTTCATCTCGCTGGGGATGCCACCCACTCACTGCATTGCTGCGTGTGTCCGTGTGTGTTTCTGAATGCATATGCGAGACAGGAAGTGTTAATGCACACTGATGTATCCATGTATTTACCCCTCTCACTTTAATCACACGCTAACCTACACGAGTCTCATCTGCTATGACAGAAAACAGAGAAGCAGTTCTGTTCTATATGTATAAAACACGAGCCCTGCAGAGTGACAGGATCGTTTTTGTTCTATTAAAAATGACAATGAAAGGGTTCTGCAGTGACAATTGTAGCCACCAGAGGCTGCACTAGTGCACATCATGAAAAGAACAATATGACTCCAGATCTGACAATTTAAAAATAGTGGAAAGTTTAAAACTGCAGCGTGCAATTGTGTCTTAGAAAGTGATTTCTTTATTCTTTGTAGCAGCACAACTGTCTGGACACAGTCAGGCTCATAATCATTCATATATATATATATATATATATAT